ATCCCCCCCTCCGCAGGGTGCACCGTCCGCCTGTCGCACCCCCTGACCCTGGAGCGAGTGGCGGCGTGCTGCGGACCCCACGACGCAGCGCAGCTGCTGCAGCTGGCGGCGGACGGGCCCGAGGCCCGTCGCAGGCTGTCCAAGGAGCACCCTGAGCTGGGAGCAGCGGTGGATGTGGACTGTCATGCGCCCCGCAGCAGTCTGGCGAGTCGGGTGGGGGAGTTAGGGGGGGCTGAGGGGCCGGGGTGGTGCAAGGCGAGGCGCTGGCTCATCACGCGCCCTCTCGCGCCCGAGCAGGAGGAGGAGGTGTGCTCCGCGTCCTCGACCGGCAGGCTTGAACGAGACCCTTCGCTGGAGGTAGAAGACGCACGGCTGGTGAGCAGGGAAGGGGTCGTGGCGGCTGGCGACTCGAGGATGCCTGCCAAGGCGTTTCCGGGAGGCAGGCGGGCGCGAGAAGTCGCCTGTGGCCCAGAGTGCTTCCCAGCATGCACCCCAACAACCAATGTGCAGGATGCCTGCCTCGCATTTGTCGAGCCGGCGCTGGAGGCAAGGTTTGGCACCTGGTTTGCGGAGCGGCAGGGGGGAACAGACACGCTCCTCCTGGGCCTGTCCATGCTGTCCTGGGTGCTCGGCCTGCTGCACAGCAGGCACAGCACGCAGGGCACGGCGGTGCTGCTCGGCTTGAGCCTGGTGCACGCTGCTGTGCTCGTGGTGAGGTTCTAGGAAAGGGAAGAGGACTAGGGGTGTTGGTGTGGGAGTGCTGGGAGGTAATGTGATCGGTTGTGTGCCCCGATTGAACGCCGGCCGTTCTCGTACTGCCCCTCGCCCCTGCCCGAACCAGCACAATGCCACTTGTGACAGATCATGGTGCGCCGCCACGCTGTCTATGCTGTCTGGCGGGACTCGCTCTGTGTGTTCTGCCACCTGGCACACAAAGTGGCGCTCGTTGTCTGCATCCTGGAGGGCAGACGCGCAGCAGGGCCTGAAGGTGAGGTTGTTTTGTTGCCGACGAGGGGTTGAAATGGAGAGTGGACGTCAGTCTAAGCGCAGCGGGAGGCCAGGCATGGATGCTGGACATTACGGTATGAAGCCAGTGCACAGAATCTGCCTGGGGTTCTGCTCTTGCCCTCTGCAACATGCAGATCCTCTTGGAGGGGCAGTCAAAGCACTCAGCTCTCACATTCAAACACCCTCACAACCGCAGGCCATACCTTTGCCGCGCTTTCCCTGACCGCGCTGACCGCGCTGCCCTTCGGCCTGCGGGCCAGGTTCCGAGTCCACATGTGGCTCCTTCTTGCACACTTCGTGCTCCTCCTCTGGTACCAACCCAGGGTTCTCCAAGGTGGGTACCTGGGCCCTGTCCCCACGTCTGGTGATGACGTGCCCATGTGGGAGGGTGGTCACTGTACACACCCATGCAGCTTACCATCCGCGTCACTTTCCCTTCTGCTCGAGTATACGAGGATATGCAGCCCATGTGCTCATGCTTACCCCGCTGTGCTCGATGCAGGCAACCTGTGGGGAACCGTCCTGGCCTCCCGCCTCTTGCTGGCCGTCGGAGCAAGCCTCGTCCTGCTCCTCACCGCAAGAGTTGAGCTCAAGGCTCGACAGCAATTCTGTTCGATACTGGGGTGCAAGTAGCGCCCAGGCGTTCGGCGCTGCTGCTCGCGCGCCGAATGCACATGCATACCCCGCCCTCGGAACGCAGCACTTCATTTCCAAGCGTGCCCGCACGCCTCAGCTGTCTCCACACTTCAAGCCCCAAACAGGCACGCCACTATCTCTGATTTGAACCCACGTGTGAGGGGGCGCTGTGGGCATGCCACGGCGCCGCCCACGCCGAAGAATCTTGCACCCTTGTGATTGCACTGCTGTGCCTCGTCCAGTCCTGCTCAGATCCCAAGGACAGTATCGTACAGGATGTCAACGTGCCATGCAGCCACGCATGCAGAGGTTCTAAGGGGGTTTCAGGGGCGGGGGCAGGTCTCTGGCAAGGGGGCCGGTCAAAACTGGGATGTCAGATGTCCTCGTCTGACGTCCACTCCTCGTCCGAGCCGGGACGGTCCACGTCGTCGGGCTCCTCGAACTCGGCGGTGTTCACCGCATACCTGAGCAGCCCGCCGATGCCGCCAAACCCTCGGCAGAACTGAGACCCCTCCTGCGACCGATTCGTCACAAACTCCAGCTGGCATCCGAATTTCTTGTAGCCGTTGGCAAGCCACTCCAGCAGGGGTTGCTGCAGGGGGTGGGGGAAGGAAGGGGACATCATTGGAGACCTCACGCCCGGCGAGTGTTCCACGGCTCCCCCCTGCATGGGCTGCATGGTATCACCGACCCCAGAGCGCTCGTAGCACCACATCGCCCAGTCCGCCCACCTTCTCTACCACATCCAGGTCAAGTCCAGTGACCTTGTCCTTGAATAGCTTGCTATCTGTCTCCTGTTCTTTGGTCAGGATCTTTACTTCTTGCTCTCCTGCAGGGGCATGCTTGGCAAGGCACTTCAGCGCCAGCAGAGCATCCGGGGTCTGGGCGGAGCCCTGAGGCAGCATGGGATGAGACACCCTCCTTTCAGCATCGCATCCCCCCTGGTTCCGGACACCCCGCCCAACCTCTCACCTGATGAGGTGTTGAATACATAGCGGGAGACCTCCAGGTTCTCCCAGATGATGAGGGTTTCTACCGCTCCCATCTCCAGGCACGCCAGCGTGTCCTTCACTCCAAACACATATTTTCCCGTATCTTGACTGATCTGGTCGAAGAAACTGCAGGCAGTGGGGTGAGGGTACCTTCAGGCATCAGCATCGCACAGAGCCCTGTGCACACATGCACGCAAGTCCCCGGCCATATACCGTACCTGCTGATCAGCCGCTTTTCTTGCACAAATTTCACGTTGGACAGGGTGTCGGCCGACAGCTCGATCGCTTGACTGAATCCGTTCTCTCCACCTGGAAGTTCGAAGAAAGGTGTGTGGGACTGAAGGGACTGAACAAAGGCCTTGTGCGATCGGGATGTGCCCAGTGTAGAAGATTCTCTGCAAAGCCTTCTTCAAGAAGGAGCGGGGGGGCCTAGACATCAAGGATTAAGAAACGGGAGGATATGTGATTGGAGAAGGGATGTACAACACCCTTAAAACTGATGGCAGCCCTGTGGGGGGGGCTGCCATCGTGCGAGGGTGCCGCATGCATGGTGTGGGGTGGCCGCCATTTAATCTGCTGCCACGGTGTATAGGCAGGAAACTGGTAAAGGCACCCATGGAAAATGTGGAGGTTTTGCTCGTGCACTGGGCTCATTATGAGGCCGGTCAAGATGAAGCAGCATGTGGTGCAGTCAGGCAGATAGGGAGGGCACAAACGTATGCAACCTTTGCCAAGCAAGCACTCTATAGAAGCAGCGTGGGTTGTGGGTTGCTGTTCAACTAGCCAGTCCATTTGGCACAGTCAGCGCAAGCATGTGACGCCGATCTCCAAGCCCATCTCAGGCTGAGCAGGGTAAGCTGCCGGTCACTCCCCACCCCCAATCACCACCCTCCGCACGGAAATCCCCCCCCTGCGCTCGTCCAGGCTCACCGTAGGACACGTCCACCACTGCGAGAATCACAGCCTGTAGGCGGGCGTCAAACATGTCGGACTGCGACAGCTCGGTCTTGAAGTCGGCGCTGCCTGCCAGCACCAGCCCCGCCACGTTGGGGCGGTCCGCGGAGATGAAGAACTGGACGGCCAGCTCGGCCACCTTGCGCACGTAATTGTGCCGCTTCTCCATGCGCAGGCGGCCGAAACGCAGCGCGGACTGCCCGCCGCGCCCGTGCTTCTTGGGCAGGTCCACCGTGATCTTGTGCAGCACCTCGCGGCTGTTCCCAGACAGCGTGCCGAACAGCGTGCCGTTCCCGTCCATGACGATGAAGCCGTACTTGGAGTCAGCCTCCATCAGCTCGTTCAGAGCCTCGGTGTGAAACTTGTTGTCGCACAGGTACAGGGAGGTGTTGATGGGCTTGAAGGGCTCGAAGTCGACGTTCAGCTTCTTCTCCTTGCCGTCCTCCGTCAGCACGGTGCCCGTGTACACGATGAGCCCGTTGGGCGGGACGCGGTTGTACAGCTTGAGCCGCTGCTGGGCAGACGTGATGGCAGCCAGCACCGACTGACGGTTGACGCGGGACTTGATGTTGGAGGCGGTGCCGTACTCGTTGGCCAGCATGGCCTGAGATTGGGCTACCTGGAAACGGGGAAATGTGGGGAAGTGGCAGGAGGGTGGGAGGGGGGTGGGGCTGTGGTAATAGGCAGGCCCCTCCAAACCCTTCACAAGGAGACAGGAGGCGAAAGTAATGAAGAAGAGAATTCAAGTCACCTACCTGGGACTTTGGTGGCAGGATGAGGCTGATCATTGAAGTGCCGTTGCCCTTGGCATTGTCTAGCGCCTTGATGAGCTGGGGTGGGAGGGGAGCAGGGGACGGCGGTGTGGGGGGGGTGCTCACCGCGGGAGCTCGCCAGAGAGCAAGGCGCCCTCCCTGATACCCTCCGATGCAAAATCTCATCCCCACTCACCCGCTTGACTTTCCAAATCTCGACCTGCTGGTCGGCGTCCGACTTCTGATCCGCCATGGCCCCTCGCTGCGGGGGAAACCGCCTGTGACGGGGTGTTTACCAACCAATGTACCGATTGTTTATCGAGCTGGCTGCGACCTCCAGGTCTATTGGCGGTACGTGGGAACCAGGCCACTCCTTGGTTCTGGACGGCTACTCACCGCAGCGGCGATTGTTTGGCGCCATATTCACGGACGGTATCCCAGCGCGCCCTGGCTTTCGACCTCGCCCGGTGCCCAGGCCCACATTGCGATCGTCAGGGTGAAGCTCCTCCTGCTATCAATGCTGAAGTCGCAATACTGAGCGACACATTCCATTTCGAGCAACCTTCTGGCGGGCCCCTGTGTCCTTGCCCTGCGCCATGCAGGCGTGTGGCGAGGACGTCTCTTTAGATAGACTGGCTTTGCGGTACGGCTCCGACAGTGATGGAGAGAATGTCACCAAGCAGCGCGATGTGAAGGCTATCGCGTTGCCCACCCCTGAGGCGGCAGAGCGGGCCTCCCCCTTGCCTGCCACCAGCGAGGCCGAGGACTCGGAGGAGGAGGACAGCTTTGACGAGGACGAGGAGCTGGCCTCCGCCCTGGCCTGGGCTGACATACAGGACGGTGAGATGGGTAGATGGCGTACGATGGATTGTTCAAGGCTAGGCCCCATCTGCCTGGCTGTCCAGGCCACACCACCTGGCTTGGCCTGGCCGTCACGCACAGAGGGCACACCTGCTGCTGCGGGCAGCGCCTGGCCCCACCCTCCGAGCCCTGCCCACGCCTCCGTCTTCTTCTCG